TTTACCATCGCTTTCTTCGCGTTGGCAACATTTGTAGAGGAGGGTGCTTCACAAGGATATTACAACCAGAACTATATTACTTCAGGAGACATGTAAGTAGATTGGACAGTTTGTCAAAAATTTTAATTATCAGTTATGTGGAGGTACATAAGCCACGCATGTTCATGTATTCAAATGAGTTGCGGCTCGTTCAGAATTTTCATGACAGGCTAAACGCTGCCCTCAAATGCATTTATACATATGCAACAGACATACCTGTTCAATTTGTTTTCCTTCATCCAAAATTCATTCAATTCGAAAATCAATTTGCATTATTATTCATTAATTATTCATTCATTCAGTGAATAATTCATTCACTCATCCCATGAATGTAACATATGGCTAAAAATGAATGAATAAAAAACCCACTCATTCAGTTTGAATTGTTCATTCATTATTAATTCATTCAATAAATCATTCACTCATTAATTCTTCGTTTCGTACCGACACGGAACATAGATACAGTTTGACTTTGGATATGACGATAAATTGTAACCAGTTATATTTAGTACGTATGTAAATTCCATACGTAAAATGCACAAATTTGAGATTCTTGGATAAAATATTTTTTTACGAAATATCGAGATCAATCGTTCTGATTTTTTTTATTTCAGAACTCAATTGATAATTGAGCTCATTGGAAGCTGCATTTCTCTCGGAATTCTCATTTGGCTAATCTGCTGTTGCTGTAATCCAAATTGTCGCCCAGATTGTTGCGGAAATGGGGTGCTGCCAAGCCGAGTTGTTTGTGAGTCGTTAAAAAAATTCGTATTTCCAATGCCTAGGAAATCTTCCTTGGTGTATGGGAAGGTCCATTTTTCCGTCATAAAAAACGTGATTTTAGGTGGTTTTAGGCCGCCGATCTTACTCTTGTTAAGCTGCGAAGGATAAGGAGAGGATTAGCGGGTGGGTGGTCTAAAAATCTGAGTTTTTTATGGCGTAATATATGGACGTTCCCTACCCTCTTAAAAATAGTGTCACGTTATTAAAAATTGAATACACTTTGAATTTTATACGTGTTCAGTAAACGGTCCTATGTAAATCCTGAGTAACGATAAGGAGTAAAGTTTACTCAAGAAGTAATAAGGATGTGCACTCTAAGCAAAAATCAGTAAAACTTACTCTAGGGTGAGTAAAAAATAGAGGATGACACGTTAAAATTAGCCAACCGTTGCGCAAAATTTGTCCAACGGGTGGGTAAATTTTATCTTTTGATTTTGTCATCTTTGTTTTTTTACTCAGCCTTGAGTAAATTTTATTTATTTTTATTTAGAGTGCATAATTACATACTTACATACTACATAATTCAGAGTGCATTAGTTTTTTAAAAGTTACGTGATATTATTTTTTAGTTTGCTGGCTGCATTTTTATATCATTTAGGTCATTTTAGGTCACCACTTGTTGCAAATGGTAATTATAATTTCTGTAAGATTATAATTTCCTAGCGTCAAGTATTTGATGTTTATTTTTAGCATGAGGTTGACAATCTTTTGCAATGCTTATTACCATTAGCCGACAAATTGTAACCAACTGTGGGAATAGTGACTCCACAAAGTAGTGATTTCTTAGCAAATTAGGTGCATGTAGTGTACATAAAGTATTAACATATTTGGCTTTGGCACAGATACTCCCTCTGCTACTACGCAAACGCAAATCATAAAAGTGTGAAGAATTCCAGCGAAAAAATAATATTTACTCATGTCTGATGTGTCGCAAATTCATTTCCTGGACAAAAGAATGTTTTAAAATTAAGTCTGTCATTTTCACGTTACCAACAAAATTTTGATTTGAATAAACACTATTCGTCTACATATGTAAATTGGCAGAAATTTCGTTTTCTGGAATATTTTTTTTTTATTGACACATAAGTATTTTATATTTACTACCAATCTGGTCTTGGCATTACATGCACTCAATACTTTTGTCATACGATTGTTACCGCCAGAGGTAATAATCGTATATGCAATTCTACTGTGTGGTAACACTCTACTAATAAGTTAAATTCTGAAGGTAAGAAACTTTCTCCAGTGTCGGTAATATTTTTATTACCATTGAGGGCTGAGCGGGATTTAGCCTCTGTGTACATACGCATATCATACCGCCAGGTGATGAATTACTTCCGAAGCGATAGACGTGCAAAGTACCTTCGGCGCTAAGAATCGCATCAAAAAATTAGTGATATGGTCGGCCTTTAAGACGGCGTTATAGCCTTGTCTTGTAAATAATTTGGTATTTTGCTGATTTCGCGTCAACTAAATTTAAATTGAGCATCCAAAAAATAGACTTATTAATAAATAAGTAATGAATTCGCAAAAACATTTACGGTGTATGTATCTTTCTCAGGAAACAGCCCATTTGAAATGATTTGATGAATTGTGATGAAAACACTCAATATAATTATGAAACTTGAACAATCAATTATTTATCTAAGGATATACACATATGTCCATCCTACTCCTATATTGCTTCAATATTAATAATAAATATGTGACATATAATTCATTATTGTTGACAACCTGTCAGTGTCAAATATGCATGTATGTAGGCATTACAGGATGTGTCAATAATAATACACATATGGATATGTACTTATCTAAATACCAGGTGGCTTCGTAACACAAGTCCTAAAATATAGGCATACATACATATTTATGTAATGTAATGTATTGAATAAATCAAATTTCGTAGCATGGGCTCAATAGTTATTTACCAAAGACTGACCTTAATTTTGTATTATTATTCGTAAGCTTCACTGCGCATTGCCACTTTCATTCCTGGACATACGCATACATACGCATACATACATACCTTATTTATGTTATTTAGCTTTCTATGTATGCACAAGTACAATTAAAACCTTGTATTGTGGGATAAATAAATATCGCCAGGAAGTTTATCAAGTATGTTAATCAACAAGCCACATAATCATACCACCCGCTAAATAAACCATAACAAACGAAATGTATGTAGCTAAAGGGTGAAACAAGTAATTCCCCAAAAATTATGTGACAACATCCTCCGACCTGGAATGGAGGGAATGGTCCAATTGACCCTAAAAATTGCTGGGGATGCTCCTCTTATATGCATCATGTCGTAAATCGATTTCATCGGAAAGACGGACAGACTGACAAGATCTTGGCATAAAGTAGCCTGAAGTTAGGGAATTAATAATCATTCATACATACATACATACATTTGTTAATCATTATCGAATTGTCAATCCATTACAAACTTTCCTTGAACAACGAAGTGCTATAAAATAGTGTATCCTGATTTCATTCATGCTGGTTTCTCATTCCCCAAACTTGTCATAATTCTTACCTTGACAATGTTTCGCACTAAATTTCTCCCCCTTCTGAAACGCCACTTGGCAATTTCTCAAATCCTGAAATGTTATCCATTTGACTTTGACTCGTTGATAAATCGATTAAGAAAAACTGCTTCGATCCGACACCAAAAAATGTTCAGGGTGGAATGTGTCCTGACCGTAGTGTTGTTGCCAACCATGCTGCTGACACTATATGCCTTGGAAACCTTACGACTCCAGAAAGATTCCAGGGATCGGCATTCTTCTTCGTTTACACGTTGACCGGCGTGGTTCGTTGGAGTTACGAAATGGACAATTCTGCCATCCAAGTAATCAACGCTTTCCTGGAGTACGAAACTAATTGTAAGTACCTCAAAATAGTTTCTACCAATTGATAAAAACCAAATTGAACAGAGTATGTAGTGGGAAAAGAGGGAAAAATAAACTTTTACCACCCACTTAAAATAGGTGGAAACTGTCTCTTAACTGACATGGTCGAAATATAATCCTGGTTGAACATAATTTTAGTCCCCATTGTGACGATTTGTAGCGATTTTGCTTGAAATCTCCCACAAAATCTAGGTCTTCCTGAAATTATCCAACCTTCCCTGTTGTGCGATATGATGTCGAAACTTATTTGTCTGATTGAGCTCACAAGTCCGTTGGTACGGCTTTGGTCATTCAAAATTTTTGCATTAATGAGACCGTGTCATTAACTTTAATTAAGAGTGTTTAATTATGACGATGATTTAATTATACTTTATTGAAGTTGAGTTGTCGCATTAGTACATATTTATGTAGATATGCAGTGATGGCATACCAAGCAGTATGAAAATGCTGCCATTCAAAACCAAATTATTTCCAGTCCGGGAGGACGTTATTCCCAAATCTGCAGATATATTTACCAGCATATAATTTATGTTACTTCACCACATTTTTAACCGTGTGTATGTTCAATGGTATCATAAAGATTTTACAGGTTGGTGCTAAAATTATATGTTTCTGTAAAAATGTGCTGTTGATATTACACATCCCTAATACCGAGCAAATATTGCACTTTGTTACTTACTAATACCACTTTGATAGAGTCGTACATACAGATAAATACCGTTTGGTGTTATTTGAATACTGGAGTTTTTAGAGTGTATGCATCGTCTGATCATCTTATCATCTTCTTATCATCATCATCTTATCATCTTATCATGATCGTCTTATCATTTCTGTCCTCAACCTCCAATATACAAAATAAACAACATGTGCATGTAAATAAGCTTAATGTATAAAATAAATTACGTACGCTTATATGTATTACACCAACTTAGGGTTGAAAATGACATTATTTTCTCATCTTACTGTCACGTGAAATCAACTTTTTGGTATGAATTTCATTCATTCAATGCAAACATATGGACCGCAGAAAAACTTTAGAAGCCAATATATCTTCTACTTGGAAAAGCTACGTAGGCACTTAATTTCTTGGTAAAATTATATTAACCTGTCGCACAGAAGTACAGAAGAACTGGTTTTCTTGAGCATTTGCAAACATATGTACATGTAATAACAATACCTCATGCAGCTATTACAATTATATTTGCATGCGCACGTACAGACAAGAACTAAAATAAATACTTATGCATACATACATACGTAATGATAAAGGCCTGCGCCTTCAGTATTTTATTAGCCACTACCAAACATGGACATCAAACTCATTATCTGCAGTCGGACCCTTCTGGCTCTTCTGCTTTACATCTCGTCAGAAAAGTTTACATTTATGTGTATATTTATGTAATTTCAACTATTTTAATAACCGTTTCTCATATAAGTTTTTATACAGAAATGCCTTTGCGGAACAAGGCAACGGTACGAACGACATTTATGGTCGCACTTATAAAGGCCTCGTGCTGGAAAATGGATTAAAAGTTATTCTTGTGAGCGATCCGAGTACAACGTTTGAAGCAGCATCATTGAATGTTGCAGTTGGTATGTAGGAATTTCTAAGCTAATCATGTTTTTAATAACTACAAAGTTGCAAAACAGGAGCAATGAGCGACCCCAAAGAGCTGCAAGGCCTAGCACATTTATTAGAGCACGTAATTCTGGTCAGAGGAAACATGAAATATCCAGAGCCGGACGAATTTGCAAACTATGTTCACCTTAATGGAGGATATAGAGGTGCATCGACTTACATGGATTATGCAAGATATTTTTTTTCCGTGTACCCAAATGCGTTAGAGGGCTCTTTAGATCGGTCAGATTAGTTTATCATTATCTTTATTAATTACACATGAGAAATGCGATTATTGTGTTTAATTTGTAGTCTATTTCACACGGTTCACTCCCCACTTCTGTCAGAATCTTCAATAAAGGCGGAGATTGATCTTGTTAGTTCTGAAAACGCAATTTATGCATCACAAGATGTTCGCAGGCTTGTACGGCTTGATCAGTACACATCCCGGGAGGGACACCCTTTTAACACATTTGGAACCGGAAGTAGAGATTCTTTATGGGATAAACCGAGAGAATTAGGTCTCGATCTTAGAAATGAGACGGTCCAATTCTACAAAAAATATTATTCCGCAAATTTGATGACCCTGGCTGTAGTTGGGAAAGATAACTTGACTACTCTCGAAGATATTGTAACTCGTATTTTTAGACCATTAGAAAATAGGAATGCAACCCTACCAAGCTTTGGTCCACCCTATGGACCATCTGAGCTTGGCGTTAAAATTGAGATGGTTGCCAAAGGGCAAATGAAACGATTGTCTATGGTTTTTCCAATTCCTGCTATGGACAAGAATGTTTTTGTAAGAGGGCGGAAGTAGATCTGTTACATAAATACTTGAGAATAGTACTTAAATATTAAATTTTTGTAGGAAATCTACATTGCAAATGTCGTAACGCAAGGAGGAAATCATTCACTGCTCTCCTTCTTAAGGTTGGAAGGCCTCATAACCTCAAGTTCTGCTGAAGTTAATAAGAAATGCCGGGGACATTTTGTGTTTCAAGTTATCCTGGATCTCACAGATTTAGGAGTTTTGAGACACGAAGAAGTAGCCGTGAAAGTCTTCCAGGTTAGTGAAATTTTTGCACTGCAGAAATTTACGACTTCAAGAATCCTAAATTAAACACATCGAAATAATGCACAGTTCTTTAACCTACTGCGCAACCACCCTCCCCAAAAATGGTTTTGGGACGAGGTGGAAGAAATTAAGAATTATACCACAAAATACCAGACAAAGGTTGAGGCTGTTGAACTTGCAGCTTTACTGGGAAAATCTATGATCGTAAAATATACACCAACGAACTGCTGAATTAGAATTACATCCATGGGTGAATTATTGGCACTTTCTTTGAATCAGGAAAGTACCCCGGACGACGTTGTTGAGGAATATCTGAGTCCAAAGAGAACTCAGTTCAATGCCACACAAATTGTAGAATCCCTTGAGTGGATAAGGCCGGGAAACATGAGGTAAAAATTCGACAGTGCCGCCCTAATTTTTTTGAAATTAATTAACTGTATTCCATATTCAGGCTGTTCTTCGTGTCCAACTCCATTAAAAATGCTTCCAGCACAGAGCCCCACTACCAATTTAAATACAATTCGGGACCATTTGAATCAAAGTTTTTGACGGTAATTATTTCAGATTTACATATTAAAATATCATGATTCATACTCATAATACATATATATGACCACTTGCAGGCAATGAAAACAATCGAAGTACACCCAAATATCATCTTTCCCACGAGAAACATTTTTGTACCAAAGGATTTTGCGATGAAACAGAATGTAAGAAACCCTGCACTGTGGCATGATTACGGAGCATAGGTAATTATGTAGATTGTGCGTTTAAATTTAAATATTTTCCTCAGGTATCCGATTCCGTATTCGAATCTACAAATTTCTCAAGCATGTGGATTTACACGAATGATGAAAATAATTCACCAAAAGTGGATGTTAGGATCGAGCTTTTCAGGTGATATTTTAATATGTAGTTTATATCAATTTATTCCAAAAGTACTTAAGGTCCTACCTGTTGTATAATTCTCCCATGAAAACACAGTTTCACATCTCTTACAATGCGATAGTGTGAAGTGTAACCCTCTGATTTGGCTGACATTTTTAAATTAGGTGGTCCAAGTCAATACAACTAACGTTTCTTCAGCCAGTTTGTGCGATGGTTGGAGTTACTCAAAATATTTGAGGTCAAAGTTGAAAAAACAGCCGACTTTTTTCAGGCGCAGGGAGAAAACTCCACTTCCATTCTATTCCCCTCGCATTGATTTTATTCAGGTTTCTCACTCACACATACGCCTTCATACACAAGCATAAGCAGTGATGCAAAATAACCAAAATAAAACATTATTAATTCCGGCTTAAATAAGAATTAACACGCCTCATGCTCGCTTAATTTAATTCATAACTGAATACGTGAGATTTTTACTTCTTTGCATTAAAAATTCATACAAACATTAATTTATAAATTCATCAGCGGCAAATAAACATGGAAAAACTTAACTTACTTTTCATTTCGAAAGCGTTATTCTGATTTCCAATTCATTTGAAAACAAAGACCAATGCCCATGTGCAATGAATAATATTTTTCTATAATAAATTAAATTTAAAATTGGTGAAATGGATTATTTTTCGGAGTGAAAATCAATGCGAGGGGAAGAGAATGGAAGTGGAGTTTTCTCCCTGCGCCTGAAAAAAGTCGACCATTTTTTCAACTTTGACCTCAAATATTTTGAGTAACTCCAACCATCGCACAAACTGGCTGAAGAAACGTTAGTTGTATTGACTTGGACCACCTAATTTCAAAATTTCAGCCAAATCGGAGGGTTACACTTCACACCATCGCATTGTTAGTATTTAATAATGTTTGCAGGCTATTCCTTTAAAACATTCTGTATTTTTGACTTTACAATTCCATAAGGTTAGATATGCGAACAAATATATTCCCCAAAGCGCAGTTTACATTAAAGAATTTTTTCGAGAATCTAGTCTTGTAGAATTATGAAGCTAAAATATAGAATTTTGTAAAGACGTACATAACATTTTAATTTGACTAAGATTTAACTAGTATGCAAACTTTTAAATTACTCCGTAAGAGAACATAGGCCATTGGACAGAATGATAAGTATAGGAATCATACGTACCTCCTGCCTATCTCCAAATTTATTTTCATCCACCTAGTACTTACACTCCGTACGTCACTCCACAAGATATTGGTATGAATTCCATTCTCGCCGTTCTCCTGAAGACAAGACTTCTTCCCATGGGTCTTAAAGCTATTGCGGCCGGGACATCGATCAAAATTTCCAATGATGATTCTGGTTTGAAGGTATATTTCTAAGCATTGCGCACGAGGGATCTATAAGGAAACTGGAAATGATGACCTAAATTCTTCAATATTTAGATTAGAGTAGAAGGATATACTGATGGGTTTACCCTAATCGTCACTGAATTAATGCACACAATTTATTCCTTATCGTTTACAAGATATGATTTTGACATTGCCAAAAAAACTTACGTATCGTCAATCAAAGAGAACCTTAATGCGGAACCATGTACCCTGGCGAACACGGGCATATTATTGGCGGAAACGTATTTCGAGCAGGATATGATACTTTACGCTTTGAATGGTATTTTATTTTTCAGCAGCCCAACATAGCGAAATCTAACATTCAGATGTAATTTATTGCTCTAGATCTTTCTCTAGAAGACTTCGAATTATTTTACCGTAGGTTCGTCTCACGACCAAGTCTATATTGGAGATTTTTCGGCGGCATACAAAAATGGGTTAGATCATTTTTCCAAAGAGCTTATTAATAGTAACCTTATTACAACTAAATTAAACTCATTAGGAGGCAATTGCCTTGGTTCAAACAAGTGAAGCACTCCTCCTAAAGCGAGGAAGCCGACCGGGACAATCTTTTAAGCAATCAATAGAAAAAAGGGTTGTGGAAATTCCAAGGGGTCGGTACACAAAAATAATGAGGCAAAGGATATAAAATGTACTTAAAAATGAAACCCCCCGTCTATAAAGGAACCAGTTGGCTGTATAGAATAAGCAGCGAAATACATTCCAGTTCTTGTACGAAAGTGGTCTTCCAAGCTGGAAGTAAAACAAAGGACCAGGGAGATAAATTAGCTTTACTTTCGGATCTTATGCACCACCCGCTTAATGTTCAACTATATACGAAGGAACGGCTCGGTTATCTTGTGGGAATAGTTGACACATCCATCACTTTACAACTTTATGTCCAGGGTGAGCGAGATACTAAATTTATGGAGAGAAGAATTAACAATTTTCTGCACAAATTCCGGGTACGTGAAACTTTCTCATACAGATTCTCACCTTATATGTTGGATCAATGCCATTTTTGCAAACATGTGAATCAGGGAATGCTGAAAAACATGACACAAGAGGAACTTGATCTAAGGATGCTTACACTGATGGAAAGATTTATTATTATTGGGAATGAAACTAAAATTGATGGTAAATGGGAACAATTAGAAAATTTGGTGACGTAATATAAAAATTTATCTTTCTGACTTGATAGAACTGCAAAAGTTTTATGACGTAGGTTTCTAAACATATAATTCCATCATTGGTCTGTACACGGTGTTTTTCTATGCTAAAGTTATTTGTTTAGGAATTAATCGGATTCACCCCAGGAGAGTACAGGAGACTTTCGATTCACGTTAGCCCAGAAGTTCCTAGTGCGACCGAGGAAGTTGTAAAATGATAATTAAATATCTCAAGAATTAAGTGATTTGATAGATACACTTATCCCTTGTTTTGTAGGAAAATATCCCTGCGGATGAGACACCAGCACAAGCTAACGTTGCCAACATAACCAAGGTGCCATCAAATTGTTGAGTGTATGCAGCATTTTCTAGTAAACTAATTTGGTTTTCATTTTGAATAAAGTTTGGATCAATGACAAAAGCCAATCAAACCGTCACAACAGAACTCGAAGTACAAGTAGATAAAGGATTATCCATTGCGGATTTGACTAATGGAATACCCACTGATGAAATCCTCGTAATTGGTCTTAACCAGACAACGGTATGCTTTGAATCGCGCTTCTCAACTTCGCAATAATTAAAACACTCCTGCACTGCTTAATCTGAATTTTTATTAGGTGGAAATAATTTCCCTAGCGTCATGGAACCTGGATTGTTATCTACGTCCGGTTTAATACTTTATATCAGATAATTAAGCAATTAAGGAATAAAGCAATGTTTAAAAAACTAATCGAAGCCAGGACCGTATTATTTTCTACTTTTAACCTTGGTCATATAAATTTATTGAAATGTCAAAAATTAAAATTTATTAATATAGAGGGATTCGCTATCGTAAAGCAGTTAACGGAGAAAAACCAAACGGATCTTAAACATTAGTAAAAATCGCTACCTCAGTAAAGTGATCTTAGGCGACAATCTCACACGAAACATAGAAACGCTCGCAGGCGTCTAGACTTATCTTAGAATGTGTCCTAATAGTTTCTCCCTGTCAACCACTAATGAATTTTATTACCTTACACATACAGGGAGATCGAATTGTTCTAATCGCTATATTTTTTGAAAGTACCGTAATATGATGTGTCGAACCCGGCCTTATTCACTATTTATTGCATTCATGCCTTAAAACTGTTGTGAAAAATGTATGGGCTTTGCAAAACCCACGTGGGACCGGGATTTCGAAGCCGTGTTTCGGCCTTGTCATGGATGTGGCTTCCTTCAAATAGGTTTTCCTACATCGTAAATGTTGTGGACTGAATTGTCAATGTTATTAAATAAAGCTCTTATCGGTGTATATGGGCTTATCCACGCCTTCCCCAGGGGTCGCAATAGCCGAAAATCTATGTTTTTAACCGGTTTTGCGCAGTTTAACCGATATCACATTGGTTCAAAAGCATTTTATGCTGACTCCTGTATGTCTGGCTACCGTTCTTTGTAATTATGAGATAGTGCTCGAAGTAGTTATCAAAGTATTTCAATTCTTCCCAAAATGCCGTAATGCAAGATTTAGGCTCCTCCGGTTTTTATTGCAGAACTAACCAATTTCCTTGCAATTTTATATGCAGATCAACATTTTTTAATGGGAAGATTGTCCTTGAACTATCTAAACTGCGTTTGGGTTTAAAATATTTTTTGCTGCTCCGCAATCCTCGCTTCTTTCAGATTTGCCTATTTTCACTTAAAACCACATCCTGCATTGGGTAATGCTAATATACCCAAGCCCGTATGTCTGTGAGAAGACTTTACCTTTGGTATCGTATTGCAAAAAAAATTGCACAACAAAACTCACAGATGCAAAAGCTAGCAACCAAAACCGAGCGGAAAAGTCATCGGGAGAAACTTTTAGGACACCCTCTATGATACAGTCAATAAAACAAGTATTCGTAACCCAGCATAGGGTTTAGGACGGAAGCTATAACTTTCGCATGGATTGGTTTATGTTCATGAAAATTTGAACAAATATCTACCACTAATCGCACACTCTTAAGAATTTCATTACCACAATGTTTACCGGGCGGAGTATCTATTTGACTCTACTGCCGTGGTAACTTGTTAGTTACCGTGCGGTAACTATTGCTAAACTTACCGACCCGGAATTGAATTGCTATAACGAGGTATTAAAAAAACGCTACCGAGTAATAACAAAAACTCTTTTGCAGTAATAAATAGTTACCAATGTGCAATATCATTATTATTGGTTGGTATATTATCAATATAATGTGGTATTAATGTTATTACTGCCTGGGGAATATTAATTAGTATTGTGGTAATGATTTCACTAAAATTGGTAAATATTCGTAAGAAATATTTTATTAAATCATATTTTAATTTAAGTCAAAATTATAAACAGTATTTTTTAGTTAAAATTTCATAACTTGAATATTTAATTTAAAATTTACAATTCCACCAGTAGTCCCAGAAGATGTCCAAACTGATAAAAACTTAACAATGGTTTCAGCAAATGACGTCTGATCTCTAATTCCTCAGTAACCCTTGAAATAAACAAACAAAGAATTATTTAAATTAATTAATTAATATGCGATGTTTTAAAACGAATTGGAATTAAATTAATTAAAAGGCATAAATGATGTTTTTGAACAAACTCACCCGTTTAGCAGAAAATTTTGCAGAGACTAAATGTGAAATTTATATTTAAAAGATCAATCAGTTACAGTTTAGCATAAATAAATAAATAAATCACAATTGATCTTAAATTTACCTTTAAGAACAAACATTTTAGAAAAGAATTCTAAACACGAGCTGATTTTCTGGAGAGCGTTTCTTCTTTTGTATGTTGAGGTGTGAATGCGCGTTAACTTTATTATTGAGTTTGTAAAAAATATTTACCGGAGTAGTAATGAAAATACACCACATTTGAGTTTTAACTCATTACCCTCTGACTGAAAGATTTAACGCGAGGCAGTATTAATCATGTTCCTCACTCCAGTATTAAATTAACACAACTTGGTAATTTTGTGCTACCACTTTGATTTTCCCGATAATACCAGACAATAATAAATAAAGTTTTTGAATTATAATGAATTTTGGTAAACAATTTTATTACTGCCACGGGAAAGTCAATGTTTACCAACCGCTCGGTAATAAACGAATATGCATTTTTATTACCACAGTTCTAAGAGTGCATGTACGTTCATATTCATTTTGAAATTTGAAATTTGAAATTTTTAACTCCACCTGGTTCTTGTTTGGATAAAATTACTCAAATGCTGAATTTCATGATATCGGACAACTCAATGCCTACCAACAAAAGAAGTTTCGTAAACAAACTCATCAGCCTGGATGGGAAACTAGAATTTTTTACGAAATATTATATGCCATAAAAAAATCAGCCTTGGATGTGCATATATGCACTTTTCTATGATCTATAGATCATAGAAAAATCTGACGTATGATCAAACTCAATTTGTATTATCATCATTAGCCTTCTTTAAACATAAATAAATTGCTCAATTTCGATGCAGAGATGTGTCATGCAATTGATTGAAGCCTGCGCGCCCAGTCAGCAACGTGGGATTTGCGGATTTTTCCAGCCCACGGAGCCCAGCCCATGGGAGTCCAGCCCACCATTTCCAGCCCGTGATTAACTCTAGCCCACCAACTCCAGCCCTTAATTATCTCCAGCCGTAATTATTTCCAGCCCATAAATATCTCCTGCCCCAATACATAAATGAATATCAAAAAGGGGTTTCGAGTATGCTTAGTCCTTGTGCCACCAACACAAGCTGGAAAACCGAGTCGTCAGCAAGGGAGCCACACCCATATACCCTGTTTTGGGTTATAGTGCAAAAAGCATAGTCATTATGTACATATGGAGAAAAAATCCAATCGAGCTGAAATTTGGCAAAGAGGCTGCTGTTGACCCCTAATAAAAGAATATGAAGTGAAATTGGAAAATTTTTTGTCTAGAGTGACCCAATGGGGTTGATTTTTAGAAATAGTAAGAAGTTGAAATTCGGCAGGGTGATAGTTAGTGGATTCTCATTAAATAATATGAAGTCAAATATGAACAAAAAGTAACCAGAGGTACTAACGGGTGACCAACACCGATTTCTAAGAGTTTATATATTCAGCTCAAATTTAGTATGGAGTCGTAAAATAAATTGCAAGTTAGAATATAGGAGGGTTGAATTTCAAAATTTTTGAAAAGAAAATTTAGGGCTGGGGTCCGTGGGCTGGAGTCTTCCGCACACCGCCACGTGGGGAAGGAGCGCAGAATGTCAATCAAAAAAACGAAAAAAAATATTTTCAAAATTCTTTTCGTTCTTACATACGTGTGTCCCAACTCAATGCCTATCAATTTTAACCTATAACACTTTCCTGTCATTAAAATTCAATATTTAACCACTTCAACCCTAGGAGACGAGTTTATTCATACCTTTCACCCCTAGTAACCGCGAATTTTTACCTCCCTAGACCCCGAAATTTTTATCTACTGCATGACGTTAATTCCTGGGCCATAAATTAAAAAATGGTGTTCCCACCGGAATTATTCTGGACACTTTTTTATGAAAATTGATGTGAATAACCTTTCAAGAAGGTATTTTGAGTTGTAATTTGCATTTTTGAGTTGTGGCGAACCACCAAGGTTTATAGCCGAAAATAGCCAACACGCCGAATTTTAAAAATGATTGTAATTGCATGAAAAGTTAGACAAGCATGGAGTAATACTTGCATAATAGTACGTAAACTCGCAAATACTGATTATAGCGCCTAAAGCGCCTTAGGAGCCGATTTTGGGCGGGAAAACCAAATATCCTTACAATGACTTTAAATAGACAGCAATGACAATGAATAATTATCCCGTGAGAGGAAATTGCTCGAAAATAGACTATGGCGCATCTGGTGAATAGAAATCAATTTTAAGCGGGAAAATTAAATTCTACTAACTCCTGGCAATCTCTCAATTTTTAATTTTCCCGCCCGAAAGATATTTCAGCGGCACCCGATACGTAATCATTAATTTTGACGTAGTTTACCCTACCGGCAAGATTATTTGTGGTATATAATTAAATCCATACAATGATGCAATTCATCAAACTTTTAGTTTTCTCGCCCAAAACGTCCGTTTGTGCTACATGCGAGCAAAACAATTTCTCTAATCTTATCGTAAAGTGTTGTAGAAATAAATCGGTGTCGAAATTTCCTTGCAAAAAACAGTTTTCACAACTCGGCGTGTTGGCTAGATATAGCCACTTGGCTATAAATTTATTTTGCATCCCTTTCTAATGTTATTTCCTAAGAGACAATTTATATTCCCGCCTAAAGGGCGGGTTGTTGACTCATAACTCTTGCTTTGGTTTTTTCCGGATACGACACATAGTCGTAGGCCGGTGTGAACGGAAAATACAGAAGGGTTTGGCACTTACGTGGATACGAATTTGACCTTGAATAACCCCGGAACGGTTTGTCGTAGCGGGTCAAAATTTTGAACAGAGGAGCATGTTATTCTCAGATAGTTGTGTGCAAAAAATCAACTGTCTACTTTCAAAAATGCCTCCCCCACAGCCCCCAGAAGGTGAGGGAATCATAAAAACTCTTTCCAAACTTAAGTACTCGTGCAGCCGAAAGACAAAACATCTTAAAAGTGAAAGGAGAACGGTTTCGAATTCTAGAATCAATAAGGTATTGAAAAGTATAGCTGAAAAGCGAGAAATTTTGAGCTAAGGGCAACCACCACCCCCACTGAGAAAGCAAAAAAAGTGTTAATTCCCG